TCAGCTGAAGTGTTTTCACCCCACCACCCTCACCTGGATTCGGCACTGTGGGCAGGTCCGACTTGGTGCTGTCTCAAACCACTGAATTAGGCTGGAATGAGAAGCAGAAAAGCAGACTGGTGAGCCTTTGCTTGGGTAGAGACACATAGAGCAGGTAGCCACCCCAACCACAACAGGGTCTGACTTGTTCTTTCTTGACCCAGAGCCTGCCCACATAGGAGGGCGGTTACCACAGGTGGTACAGCACATCCCATAAGGCCTGACTGGGACAAGCACTCTGGGACAAGTCCTTTTTTTTGGCCCTGTTGGTGTGGCCCTCCTTACCCCTCAGCTGCTCTTTTGTCAACATTCTAGGCTTGGACTAAAGAGCAGCAGTCAAAGCACAGGATCCCTCAGAGATAGGGATTCTAATAACACACCCACTTTAAGCTAGGATTCCCAAGGGCTACACTTTCAGAGTAAGGGTAAACTAGAAGTAAATGCAAGTAGTGCTAAAAGTAAAATACTGTCCAGCTTTGCATCGTCTATCTGAGTGGTCCAACAATACCTCAAGCCTTAAACTTTAATTAGTCTCCTACTAGTAGACTCCCCCACCAGGGAACAGGGAGAAACAGAGGTCTTTCTGTTTCTGGGATACCATCATCCCAGGCCTCAAAGTTTTTCTATAAATAATTTTTCATAGGGGTGTCTGGGTGGCTCAGTTGGTTGAGCATCTGACCCTTGACTTCGGCTCAGGTCATGATCCCAGGGTCATGGGATCGAGCCCCACGTCAGGTTCCATGCTGAATGTGGAGCCCGCTTAAGATTCTCTCTCTCTGCCCCTCTCCCCTGCTCGTTCACTCTCTCTTAAAAAAAAAAAAAAATTCATATGCTATGTACAAGATATAATCAAAGCTAGCCATGCGCAATGGAACACTATATGGCAACAAGAAAGAATGAGTCTACAACTAAGAACAATATTAAAAATGAATCACATATACATAACATTGAGGAAGACAAACCAGATACAAAAAAGGTATACTGCATATGACTCCATTTACATAAAGTAAATGCTTTAGTTTTCTTAAAGTAAAGTCATACAAGGAAAAGAGCATTACAAGTGCAAACCAGAACATATCCAGCAAGACTTCAGATATGGGAATTGTCACATACAACATAACACATTATACTAAAGAAATAAAAATCAAAACTGAAAATATCATTAGAGGAGTACCTGTCTGGCTCAGTCAGTAGAGCATGTGATTCTTGATCTTAGGGTTGTGAGTTAGAGCCCCATGTTGGGGGTAGAGTTTACTTTAAAAAAGGAAAAAAAGGGGGTGCCTTGGTGGCTCGGTCAGTTAAGCATCCAACTTTGGCTCAGGGCATGATCTCACGGTTCGTGAGTTTGAGCCCCACGTTAGGCTCTGTGCTTACAGCTCAGAGCCTGGAGCCTGCTTCAGATTCTGTGTTTCCCTCTCTCTCTGCCCCTCCCCTGCTTGCGCTCTCTCTGTCTCTCAAAAATAAATAAACATTAAGAAAAGAAAAAAAAGAAAAAAACAGGGCACCTGGCTTAGTTGGTTAAGTGCCTGACTATTGATTTCAGCTCAGGTCATGATCTCACAGTTCATGGGTTTGAGCCCCACATTGGGCTCTTCGCTGACAGTGTGGAGCCTGTTTGGGATTCTCCCTCTCCTCCTCTCTTTCTGCCCCTCTCCCATTTATACATGCTCTCTCTCTCTCTCTCTCTCCCAAGAATAAATAAATTAAAAATCAATCAATCAATCAATCAATCTATCAATCAATGGGAAACAAAGAAAATATCAGTAGAGAACTACAAAATAAAAGGTGACATGGCAGAATTTAATAAGAACCAAAGAAATTCTAAAACAAAAAAGTGGCCAAAATCAATAATTAAATGGATCAGTTTAATGGCAGTTTAGGCATAGTTGAAGAATTAGTAAAACAAAAAGATAGGTTAGAGAAAACATTGAGAATTAAAAAGATGGAAAAATGGGGGTGCCAAGCTGGTTCAGTCGGTAGAGTGTGCAACTCTTGATCCCAGGGTCATGAGTTCAAGCTCCATGTTGAGCATGGAGCCTCAAGATAGAAAAATATATGAGATTATAAAAGATATAGAAGATATTGTGAGAAGATCTAGCATACATATGATAAGGAGCTTCAAAAAGAAAGTATTAGGTAGAATTATGCCTTTTCCCCAAGAAGTCTATGTCCTAATTTCTCAAACCTGTGAATATGTTACCATACATGACAAGAGTAATTTTACAGATGTGATTAAGGATCTTGAGATGGGGAGATTATCCAGGTGTGCCCCCATGTAATCACAAGAGTCCTTAAGTTAAGTGTCAGAGTCATACAGAGAGATTTGAAGATGTAACCCTGCTGGCTTTGAAGATGGGGAGAACAGGGCCATAAGCCAAGAAAGGTATATTCCCACACTGACTATAACCCAGTAAACCCATTTTGGACTTCTGACCCCTGGAACTACAACATAATAAATTTGTGCTGTTTTAAAAAATTTTTTTTTCAACGTTTATTTATTTTTGGGACAGAGAGAGACAAAGCATGAACGGGGGAGGGGCAGAGAGAGAGGGAGACACAGAATCGGAAACAGGCTCCAGGCTCCGAGCCATCAGCCCAGAGCCTGACGCGGGGCTCGAACTCACGGACCGCGAGATCGTGACCTGGCTGAAGTCGGACGCTCAACCGACTGCGCCACCCAGGCGCCCCAATTTGTGCTGTTTTAAACCACTAAGTTAGTAGTAATTTGTTATAACAGAAATAAGAAACTAATATGAAAAGAAAAGAGATAATGGGATAGAAGCAATACATGAAGATAATAATAATGGCTGATAACTTTCCAAAATTGAAGAAACCATTCCATAAGTTAAAGAAATATAATGAATCCCAAGCAGGATAAGTAAAAATGGTAACAAAAAGAGAGCTGAAGTGGCTATGTTACTGTAAGGCAAAATAGACTTTATATCAAAAAAAGTTACACAGGTCACGATCTCACAGTTCGTAGGTTCGAGCCCTGAATTGGGCTCTGTGCTCACAGCTCAGAGCCTGGAGCCTGTTTCAGATTCTGCATCTCCCTCTCTCTCTGCCCCTTCCCGACTTGCGCTCTGTCTCCCTCTGTCTCAAAAATGAATAAACATTAAAAAAATTTTTTTTAAGTTACAAAAAACAAAAACAAAAATAAATTAATTAATTAAAAGGGGCACCTGGGCGGCTCAGCTCGTTAAGCCTCCAACTCTTGATTGCAGCTCCAGTCATGATATCACGGTTCGTGAGACAGAGCTCCGTGTTGGTCTCGGTACTGGCAGTGCAGAGCCTGCTTGGGATTCTCTCTCTCCCACTCTCTCTGCCCTCCCTTCTCTCAAAATAAATGATCTCTCTTTCCCCCTGCCTCTGCCCTTCTCCCCTGCTCCCATATTCATTCTCTCTGTCTCTCTCTCTCTTTCAAAAATAAATAAATAAATAATAAACATATATGAACCTAACAACAAAGACCAAAAATATATGAAAGAAAACTGGACAGAATTAAAGAGAACAATAGTTCTACAATAAAACTTGGGGAGGTCAATACCCCACACCTTTAATAATGGGTAGGACAATCAGATAATCAATAAGGAAATAGAGGACTTACACAACACTATAAACCAACTAGATCCAACAGACAAATACTCCACCCAATAATAGCAGAATACACATTTTTCCCAAGTGCACATGAAATATTTCTCCAGTATAGACCATATGTTGGGTCATAAAACAAGTATTAATAAATTTTAAAAGGTTGAAATTACACAAAGTATCTTTTCTGATCACAATGGAACAAAACTGAAAATAAGTAACAGGAAAAAAAATGGAAAATTCACAAAATATGTGGAAGTTAAACAACACACTATTAAACAACCAATGGGTCAAAGAAGAAACTACAGGGAAATCAGAAAATACCTTGAGATGAATGAAAATGAAAACACAACATACCAAAATTTATAGAATACAGTGAAAGCATACTAAGAGGGAAGAGACAGCTGTAAACACACACACTAAACAAAACAAAACAAAACAAAAACAAACAAACAAAAAACACACCCATTAGGATAACTATTATGAAAAACAAAACAAAAACAGAAAATACAAGAGTTGACCAGGATGTGGAGAAATAGGGCCCGTGCGCATTGTTGGTGGGAATGTAAAATGGTGCAGTTGATGTGGAAAACAGTAAAGCAGTTTCTCAAAAAATTAAACACAGAATTACCATTTGATCCAGCCATTCCACCTCTGGGTTTAGCCCAAAATAAACGAAAGCAGGGACTCGAACAGATACTTCTACACTAATTCATAGTAGCGTTACTCATACTAGCCAAAACATGTAAACAACCCAAGGTCCATTAACAGATGAGGAGAAAAACAAAATGTGGTATTTCCATATAATTGAATATTATTTGGTCATAAAAGGAATGAAATTCTGATGCATGCTACAACATGGATTAACCTTAAAAACATTATGCTTGGTGAAGTAAGCAAAACTCAAAAGAACAAATATTGTATGATTCCACTTATATGAGGTACCTAGAATAGGAAAATTCAAGGAAACAGTGTAAAGGGGCACTTGGGTGGCTCAGTTGGTTAAGCTTCTGACTTGATATCAATTCAGGTCATGATCTCATGGTTCATAAGATGAAGCCCCAGATGGGGCTCTGTGCTGACAGTATAGAGCCTGCTTGGGATTCTTGCTCGCTTGCTCTCTCTCTCTCTCTCTCTCTCTCTCTCTCTGCCCTCCCCCACTTGCTCTCTCTATCCCTAAATAAACAAACAAACAAACAAATAAATAAACTAAAAAAAAAAAAAGAGACAAAGGGTGAAATAGAAGTTTCCAGGAGCTGTGGGGAGCAGGGAATGGAGAATTGTTGTTTAATTGGTACAGTGTTTCTGTTTGGAATGATGGGAAAGTTCTGGAAATAGAAAGTGGTAATGGTTACACAGCATTGTGAATGTATTTAATATCAGTGAACTGTACGCTTAAAAATGGTTAAAATGGAAGGCATCTTTGAGCTTACCAATTAAACATCATGAGCAAAGCTCACCCTCCCAAATTAAAAAAAGAATTATGGACAAGAAGTTATCGTTGAAATTAAATGGTGGCAGATATGTCCAAGGAATGCTGCAGGGATTTGATCCCTATAAGAATCTTGTAATAGATAAATGTGTGCAGATGATAACTAGCAGGCAACAGAACAATACTGGAATGGTGGTAATAGGAGGGAACAGTATAATCATATTAGAAGTCTTGGAACGAGTATAAACAAAGGCTGTGTTCACCAGAGAAATCAACTGCTTCCACTTATCCCCTCTCCAAAGGATCCATTTTACTATAATAGAAAAACTGGGTCATGTACATTTTCATATTGAAATTCTTTGTTAAATAAACTTTTGTGATAGTCAAAAACAGTTGACATGGCAAATCTTATGTGATGTATAATTTACCACAATAAAAAAAAAAAGAAGGTTTTACAATAGCCAAGGTATGGAAGCAACCCAAGTGTCCACTGATAGATACACAAAGAAGGCATAGCATACCTGTGCACACGTGCATATGCACACACACGTGCACAGGCACACACACTGGAATATTACTCAGCCATAGAAAAGAATGAGATCTTGCCATTGGTGACAACATGGATGGACCTAGAGGGTATTATGCTAAATGAAATAAGTCAGAGATTTCACTTTTATGTGGAATCTAAAAAACAAAACAAAAAAAAAACCAGACTCTTAAATACAAGGAACAAACTGGTGGTTGCCAGAGGTAAGGTGGGAGGGGGGATGGGTGAAATAAAGGGAATTAAGAGGTACAAATTTCCAGTCATAAGATAAATAAGTCATGGAAAAGTACAACATAGGAAATATGCTCAGTAATAACTGTTGTATGGTGAAAGATGGTTACTACGATTATCGTGGTAAGCATCAAGTAATGTATACAACTATTGGATCCAAATGTTGTACACCCGAAACTAATATAATATAGTATGTCAATTATATTTCAATTTTTAAATAGGAGCTCTGAATCAGCCAGTTCACAGCTGCTGGGGGAATCTTTCCTCACCAGCTGTACATTCAACAGAACGGTCCTATAGGGACAGCAGGACTTGACCAGGGAGCACCTCCTTGCCCTTCCATGTTAACTTGGGTTACCTGGCATCAATGAATACTCTGGAGTGTCTGACCAATGAGATGACTCTGGATAGAATCATCCCAAACCATCAAGCAAACCATAACAAATCGGATAGCCAGAGGCCTACCAGGTTATCTCAAACAAGTAAAAGGGCTCATTAATTTGGCAAAAGTTGGGCACCTAGGTTACTCAGTCAGTGAAGTGTCCCACTCTTGATTTCCGCTCAGGTCATGACCTCACGGTTCAGGAGATAAAGCCCAGCACCCAGCTCTGTGCTGACAGCGTATAGTCGGCTTGGGATTCTCTCTCTACTACCCCTCTCCTGCTTGCTTTCTCTCTCTCAAAATAAATAAATATATAAAAAATTTTTTAATCTTTTTTTTTTAATAAAAAAAACAGCAAAAATTCACCTCCGACCAGATTAATAGTTTTGAGGTCACATCACTTTGCAAGCTGACCAAGAAATCCTCTACTCTATCCGCACTGAGCCAACTCTGTTACCCTGGACTCAGCTCAGTTGTTACCTCCTCTGGGAAGCCTGCCCTGACCTGCCTCTGCCCAGGTGGGGAATCTACCTTGGGGCTCCATCTAGTTCCGTCTTAATCACCTGTTTGGGCTCCGCCCAGAGACCCGACACCCCACAGTACTGTAGCCATACTAGGCCGAGCGCCCAGCCCCGACACAGCAGTCACTCACCACTGTAGGTGGAAGGTATGGCCGCAGTGGATGGCGGCCACATCTCGGGAGTGGTCGAAGAAGTCGGAGCAGATGGTGCACAGCGCACGGATAGGCATGATGATTGGTCCTAAGGGGGTCAGGCAGCCAAGGAAACCTCGACGGGTCCAGCTTTGCGACCGCGCCCCCACCCCCGTCCCCGCCTCTCCCCAGGCTTCAAATTTGGCTCCACTGCGGGACTTCCGGGAGCGGACCGGAAGTGGTGGCAGCAACGTAGAGGCGGAGCCTGAAGGCTGGGTCCCGATTGGACGAACCATAGGGGGCAGGGCTTAACGGCCGTAGAGAATCCTGGGGCTGAGCGCGAACCTGGGTCCGTCAGCGGTAACTATCTAGTGGTTCCCTTAAGGATTTGGCAGGTAGCGGCAGCTGCCACGCCGCCAGCCGTTCCCCTTTCTGGAGGAAGACACGGCATTATGCTCCTAAGCCAGATCTGGTGCCAGGAACGCCGGGCACAGCGCTATTCTCTCAGGGCAGCCTTCTCTGCATTTCGGGAGTGTGGACAAGACCGAAGCTGTAGGGGAATGGGACGATGGAGATCAGTCCCCTGGGCTCTGGGCAGTGCTCAGCCGGACACCGGAAGCCCGTAGTTCCCGCCCTCTCAGTCCTCAGCTCTGAGTGATTTTAGAAAGATGGACACAGGTCTAACCACTCAGGACACCCTAAGCTCACTCTTGGCTTTATTCAAGCAAGTCATGATGATCCCTCAGTTTGGAGGTGGCAAGGCCTGTACCCTGACTTTAGCTCTTAGCTCCCAAGAGGATCAGCATGCCTCCGAACTGTACTAGGGTTGGAATTTTAGAAGCCCAGATGCTTCACAGAACAGTGACTAACAAACCCTTTTTCTGATTTCCACATCAGAGAAGTTATCTTTGGAGTCCTCCCTGAGTAAGAGCAGCATCCCTGGTGAATTCACCTGGGCAAGTCAGGGCTGGAACAATTCTTCCTATGAGTTCTCATGCTTAACTCTTTTTTAGCAGTGTTAATACCCTCTCCCCAGAAGAAACCTTCTGTAAAGCCCCATGATATAAAGCTTATTTTTCCACCTGAAGTAGACCCAGAGTGAAGTTCTTTGAGCCTATGTGGAAAGCACAGGTGTTGTTCACAGGGAGGAGGAATCAACACAAAGGGTAGCATAGAACCTTTGTGCAATGCCCACCCTGCACCCTCTCCCCAACTCTGGGAAGCCCACTTTGGCCATGGGCAAGGTCTCTACCTACGGTGGTTGCCCCATGGTGGCCTCCAGTTGTATGCCTAAGTCAAGACAAGGGCTCTTGTTCAACAGGACTTGTTAGAACAGCAGCCCAGAGGTTATTCTTTGGCACAAGCCCAGGAAAGGACTCCCCATCCATAAGGATTTCTAGAGTCTGGAGGACCCGCCACAATCAAGGAACACACAGTGGTAAAGGATGATCTGCACTCTCAGCCCAAGCAATCCTCATGGCACTGAGCACAGACCAATACCTGTGAACCTGCTCCCAGCCTCTTCCTCCCCATTGCCTTCCAGGGGCCCCTCCCCAGTAAGACAGAGGAAGCAACGGCGAGAGGATGGCCAGAGGCTTTGGCAGGGTGACATTTATTTGCCAGGTTCAGCAGGCACACAGTTAGCCTACCAACCTTCATACACCAGAGCAGACCCACAGGCATGCAGGGAGAAGGGCAGGACTGACACTGGAGTGCCGAGCAAAGGCCGGGACCAGTGTGGCTGCCTGCCCAAGCTGTGGTGGGGTCTGACAAAGGGCACCTGCCAGGAGCCTCGATCAGGAAACGGGGAAGCCTTATTCCACTTCCTCATCCCAGAAAAAGCAACTCAGCATGGCTCAGAGGCACCTGGACCTCTGTTTCAGCCATGATAGAAGGGGAAGTGGGTCACAGACGTAGAGGGGGTTCCTCTCTATTTTGTTGTTGGATTAGGAGGGCAGAAATCTGCCCCTATGAAGGGCAACCCCCTAAATCAGACTATGGGACACTGCCATGCAGCAGGCCCCCTTCAGTGGAGAGGACTGTAGACTGAACCTAAGGGACTCCATCAGAAAAGAGCCAGGGGATACCAGCCCTCCCTGTTTGGCTCAGGGTAAGGACCAAGCTAGGCTGGTGCATGACATGCTGGGCCTGCACTCTGCCTTCCAGTTTTCACTGCCACATCCCAACTGCTCCTCCTTCCCCTTACAGGCTCATGAAGCTCAGGGCACAGGGCAACCCACTGCAGAACCCAGGAGGGCAGGAAATAGCATAAGGGTGTTGGTGAGAACTTTCCAGGGACAAAGATGGAAGCTTCTACCCCCCCCCCCCACTCATTCTCTTTCACTTCTGAGGACCCCTAAAGCTACCAAGCAGTGCCCCCAACCATGCGACCAGTCTTGTCTTAAAGCATACTGCCCTAGATTTTTGAATTCTCTATACAAGCCTGTGTCCATTCTTAGAGCAGCCCACATACCACAGGCACATACCTTCATGTGCAGGAGCCTAAGACCGCTGACAGGGCCTCGCTGGAGGACCAGCTCTCAGGGCAAGGCCACCCAAGATTAGGGCCTGGGAAAGGATGGGACCTGCAGGGCCTGCCTGGGGAAATTGTGAGGCAAAAAGGGAAGGGGAAGGGAGCAGGGACCTCCTGAGTATCCCTAGAGCAGCATCCCGCAAGGAACAGAAACTGGTGAAGCTAGCGAAAGACAGAAAAGCCACAAGGAATCCATGCAGGGGCTGGGGCCGGTCCTGCCTCTGGCCTGCCCACCACTCACGCACATACACACAGGAGATGAGACTGCTCTCCCGTGGCCCCCAGACATGCCCCACACTGGGAGGCAGGGGCAGGGGGAGCAAGGGCATCAGGCCAATGACTCTATGTACAGTGAGAAGCCCCTCATCCACTCTCCCACCCTCCTGCCCATCCCCTGCCCCACACCAGACTGCCCACTCAGCTGGTCTCCTCCCTCCGAGACTCCTGGGCATAGCCAGCAGCCTCTTCCCCTTTACTAGAGGGTGGAGCCTGGCCTGTTGTGCCCCCAGGGGCTGTGCTGTCCGGCTGGGCCAAAGCCGGCTCAGGGGTGGCAGCTGCCTTGGTGGCCGGTGTGACACTGCTTTGAGTGGTGGGCATGATGCTCTCTTCTGTGGCTGGTGTGGCTCTCCCGTCGGTGGCTGGAGTAACACTCCTGTCGGTAGCTGGGGTGATGCTCCCATCAGTGGCTGGGGTGATGCTCCCATCGGTGGCTGGGGTGACACTGCCATCAGTGGCTGGGGTGACACTGCCATCTGTGGCTGGGGTGGCACTACGGTCTGCGGGGGCTGTATTATCACTCTTTGCAGCAAAAGCAGCATCACCCACTGTGGCTGAGGTGGCACTGCCCCCAAGGGCTGGGGCAGCTCCACTTGCAGCTGTGGCCCCACCTGCAGCCCCAGCGGTGGCAGTGTCTGTGGCTGGGGCAGACTGGGCTGTAGCTGTGCTGGACTGCTCTGGTGCCCGGAGCCGTTTCATGAGGGTGGTCACTCGGACAGCCTTCTGAAAGGAGGGCAGTGGAGAGAGGCTCAGAGTGGGGCTCACAGAAGCTGGATCCGTTCCTT